GCCAACACAAATGCAAATCGCAGCACAAATGCAAACGTCACAACACTAAAATGCAAAATCCCACGTAACACAAATGCAAACGTCACAAACACAAATGCAAACGTCGACAACACAAATGCAAATAATCTCAACAACCACAAATGCAAACCGCCACAACCACAAAGCAAACGCCACAACGCAAATGAACAAAGCGCAGCAACACAAATGCAAAATTCCCTCGCCCGCGCCGCCTCTGTACTTTGATGGGCGGGCGCATTTTGTTTGTTGTATCATGCAAGATAGATAATCAGGATAATCTTACTCATATCATCTACTCCTGATGTATACAGCTGTTAACCCCTCCGCCCTAACCGCAACACCGCTAATCGACGCTAATTGGCCGTTAGTAGAGAAGCTGGTAGAGAGAGGAGGAGGGGAGAAAGCTGGTGGCAGAAAGAGGAGGGGTGACAGACTCAATCGGGGTGTGGTGGTGTATTGTTGTTGTTTGGGTCGTTTTGGTGTGGGTGTTTGCTGGAACTGGGGGTGTTTTGTGGGTTTGTGTCATTTTGGTTTGGTGTGTTGTTTTGTGTGGTTGTGTTGGTGGGGGGTTTCTGGGGGTGGGTTGGTGGTGTTGGGGTGGGGGTTGTGTTGTGGTTTTGGTGTTTGGGGTTGGGTTTGCGGTGGGAGTGGCTGGGTGTTGGGTGGGTGGTGGCTTGTTTGGGTTGGGGTTCGGCGGTTGGCGAGTAACGTTGCTGGCGCATGTGGTTTGCGAGATATAGGTGATGTTTGTTTTTGGGCGTTTTAGATGGGCGGGTTGGATGTGATCATGGCGTTTGGTTGTAGTTCTGTTGGTATGAAGGAGGCTGAAGTTTGGGAGTGTTTCTGGCGTTTTTGTCGTTTAGTTGGATATAAGTTTTCGAGTGTGAGGGGAGGGGGGAGAAGCTGTGTGGTGTGTTGGATTTTTTGGGGGATTCGTGGGATGGTTGGAATAAAGGGAGGAGGGGGAGAAGCTGTCTTGTGGTTTGGTGAGTATAGGTGATCTTTGGGTGGTTTTTCTTAGGTTGTGTCGGGGTAAAGATGTGCGGTTATTGGGGGGGAGAAGCTGACGCTGGATATAGGAGGCAGGCGGGTGTTGCAGTAGAGGGGCTGTTTGGTGTTGGGTTGTTCGTATAAGGCCGGTATAGCGGTGTTAGTTCTGGTGGGTGGCATCGTTGGTCGCAGAAGGGCTGGTTTTAGGAAGCGTAGTGTGTGGTGTGTTATTGTGAAGGAGTGAGGGAGAGAGGTAGGGTGTCTGTTTTGGTGTGTGTTTTTATGTTGATTGTGTGAGTGAGGAGGGGGTTAGAGAAGCAGAGAATGCTTGGGGTTTTGGATGCAGGTGTGTGAATTGGGAGATTAGGGGATATGGGGCCGAGACGGCTGAGAAGCTCTGTGGTGTGTGTGTTGGTGGGGTGTCGGTGTGGTAGTTGGTGGGGTGTTCGGTTTGTTTTCGGCGTTGGTTGGTTTTATTTATATATATGGAGGATTATGTAGTTGTGGAGTTGTGTGTGGGTGTGTGAGTAGTTTAATAGCGGGTGTTTCTTGAGTGGTTTTGTTGGTTAAGGCGTGGCAGTTTGGAGTGGTGGTGTTTGTTGCATTGAGGTGTGATTCTTTTTGTTGGTGAGCAGACAGGGAGAATAGTGGTATGGTATAGGCTTGTGCGTGAAGGGGGGTATTAGAGGTGCATTTGTCTGTGTCGTTGAGTTTGGTGGGCTTTGGGAGGGAGGAATTGGGTTGCAGTAACATGCGTGGCTTTAGGCGGGAGTCGGGGGGGGTGTGGGGCGGGGGTGAGAGAGAGGGTGCGGGGGGAGGGAGGAGGCGGGGTGGGGGGGAGGAAGCTGCAGCCCGGGGGTGGGGGGGGGCGGGGGGGGGGGTCGCGTGTGGGGGAGGGGTGGGGTTTGATTTGTTTGAGGATATGAGAATGTTGAGGTGTATGAGCGGGTTTATTTGTGTAGGAAATAGTTGCTGGGTTTGGGGTAGTGTTAGAGTTTCGCTCTTTGATGGAGTGGTTTCAGGTGGCTTTCGGGGGGTGTGCGGGGTTGAGGTGAATGGGTTGGGTGTTTCAGGTATAAGCACGTAGGGCGTGGAGGAGGAGGAGGGGAGCGGGAAGAGTGAGAAAGGAGAGCTTGGAAATGGTGGGGGGGGCAGGGGGGGGATGGGGGGGGTGGGGGGGGGGGAGGGATGGGGGATGTACGGGGTTAGGGAGTTGGTGGAATGGCTTTGTTGTCGTGTTTTTGTATTTGTTCTGGGAGTAATTTGGTGTGGTTCTGTTATCTTGGTGATAGTGGATGATTAGGTTATCGTGGTTGAGTTATCTGTTTTTTTTTTGGTTTGAGTTATTAATGGTTGTGTATGTATGCGACGCGTCTGGTGTTTTTGTGAGCAAGGTGAGCGAATGGTGTGTTGGAGTGAGAATGTGTTAGGAGGGGCTTCTTGTGTGAGAGACGCAGGCCTTAGGCGAAGGGCTTCTGCGCGTACGGAGGTGTGTTAAGAAGGATGCAGCGGGCTTGGTGAGGAAGGCATCTTGGGCAGAGAGCTTTCGCGGGATTGGGTGCAGGAGAAAGGTGCAGGGGAGCAAAGCTGGGGTTGGGTTATATATATGTTGGGGATATGGGTTGGTGGTGGGTGATTGGCGGGGGCGAAGTATTGTGGGAGGCGGACGCAGCGGTGTTTTTAGTGGGGGGGGCCTGGTAGGGTTGTGGGGGGGGGGGGGGGGAGAAGGGAGTGAAGGGGATGTGTTCAAGCTGTTTGTATAGATGAAGACTGTATAGTTGTGCAGCAATAGCTTTGTGCTGTGTGGGGTCTACGAGGGATTGGACTGAATGTTCGAACAGGATGGTTTTTCTGTCGTCAAGGGGCTATTCAGTCGTCTGTTGAGAGTGACTTGTTGCGTGTTGGTTGATTGGATGAATGCTTTGTTGTCGATTATTGTTGTCTGTGCAGGTTATTATGGAGTTTGTATTTGTGTTTTTATTTTGAGGTGATGGGCTGAAATGTGGGGGGTGGGTTGTGGGTTGTTTTTTTTTTTGGGTTGTTTTTGTATGTGTTTCTTGTTGGAGGGGGCGAGAAGTAGGTGGAGAAGGAGGAGGGAGAAGCTGGCGTGAAGAAGGAGGAGGGGAGAATGAGAAGGCTGGTTTGTGAACCTTTAGTGAGAAGTTGATAGGGGAGAAGCTGTCGGGAAATGGGAGGGGTGGAGGTTAGTGGTGTTGGTGGGTTGATGGAGATTGTGTTTGGAGTGAAGAGTTTTTGGGCGTGTTGGGTGGTGTTGGTGTTTTTTGGAGTGTTGATCAAGTGTGGTTTTTGTTTACTGTGATGTTAGTGTTTCTGTTGGTATGGTTATTGTGGTGGGGTTGTTTGGGGTTTTTTGTGTGTTGGTTTCTTTATATCGGTAGGATAATTTTTGTGAAGGTATATTGCCTTGGTTGTTATTTTGTGGTCTGTGGTTTCTTGGTAATTGAGGAAGTGGATCTCTTTCTACTTGGGAGTGGGTGTTTGTAATGAGATAGTGTGTTGGGGTTCTTGTTGTTTGGTGTTTTGGTTTGGATTGTGTGGGTTTGGGGGGTTGGTTTCTATTGGAATTTGTTTTTGGGGCGAGAATGTGCTGGGTTGGCAGGTAGGGAGGGGGTGGGAGGGGGGCGGTTTTTGTGGAGCAAGCGGTGGAAGGCTGTCGGCGGTTACGTGAGAAGGTTGTAGAGTTATGGTGGGGGCCGCTAGAAAGAGCTGTGGAAGGAGCGAGGGGGTCGCAGGGGGGTCTAGAGAGCTTGGTGGTGTGGGGATGTGGAGGGAGGGGGCGTGGGTGGTTGGTGGGAGTAAGCTGCCGTGAAGGGAGGGGAGAAGCCACCTCTACTCCCTCCTCCTCCTCCACCAGTGCTTCTCCCGCCTCCTCCTTCTCCACCAGCTTCTCCCCCTCCTCCTTCTCACCAGCTTCTCCCCCCTCCTTCTCCACCTCCGCCTTGCTCCCCCTTCCTCTTTCTCCACCAGCGTTACTTCCCGCCTCCTCTCTTGCTCGTTACCAAGCTTCTTACGGCCATATAGCCGCTCCGAGCGACAGTGATTAGCGTACTCCGTGTGCGGAGGGGCGGGGAGGGCGCGTTAACATGCTGTATAACCAATCAAGGACGTACGATGATATTCAAGAGCCTAATAATAATCAGGGTACCTCAGGTGGGGTTGTGAATTATCCTTCATGGGGTCGGGATTATTTAGGCTGTCTTTGATGCGGTTACTTTGCGGCCCCGTTTTTGCGTCTTTCTCGCTAAGAGCGCTCTACTTGTTGCCTCGTCGGCTGCTTGGAAGGCCCGGGCCCCAACGCGGATGATCATACGCCGCCTCCCTTGTGTGTTTGTGTGGGCCGCTTAGAGAGATATGGAGAACAGGGGTCTTGAAAAACGCACTACGCGAAAACTATTGGTTGCCCGCAATTCCAAAAACCGATCAGTTTTTCTCGCTTTCTCGTGTAGGATTTCGACGGCAGGGATGTTTTGTTTGTGGTGTTAGATTTTTTGCTGTCTTAGGGTTTGGCTTGGTCGAAGGCCAATCACCGAAACGGCCCCTAACCGTTTGTTTTTCGGTTGGTTTTGTTTGGTTCTTGAGCGGGTCTTGGGCGCGCTCGTGCGATTGGTCCTCTTAGATGGACGTATAAGTGTGGGCTCTGTTGATTGGGTATAGGCTTGAATCTTTGCTGAGCTAGAGTATATGCTTAAGTGTACGGTTCTATATGAGAGAGAGGAATATTGCTGGTCATTAAGTTTTTTGGTTCGAGATCCTGAGCCTGTATTTTGTAGCGCCGTCTCCTTCCGTTCTTGCTGCGCGCTTCACGCGATGACGTTGGCTTGGGATGGCGGCGAGCGCGGCTAAGTGGGTTTGGCCGTGGTGATGGTTTTTTTTTATAAGGCGTTGTTATGCATCATCTATATCACACGAGGCTTTTTACGAAGTCTCGTGTACTGGCCGTCACTCGCGACGTTGGGTGGGCGTCTGGTGCCGCGCGGTCCGATCGATGCGTATCTGCAAATTTCGATTGCTTTTTGCGCCGTGGCGTTACCGGTTCGAGTCAATTCGGGGTCTTTGGTTGTGTTTTGGGTGTGTGTGTGAGGTAGGATTGTGGGTGGTTGGTTTGGTTGGAGGTGGTTTGGGGGTTCCGACTTTATCGTTGCTTGGTTCGGGGTTCTATTTGTTTGTTTTGTATGGTTGTGTGCGTACCGTCCAAAATTTATATATATATACATATGTATATATACTCCGGAAAACGATCGAAAGTTTCAGGTTGATTTCCGACAAAGCGATGCAGGCCATACACTCGGTGATGCGACGGTTAAAAGACGTTAGACAATTGCGATCTGCGAGATTCACAGTCACTGCATGGTCGCCTGCACGGTGTCACACTGCGACCGGTTTCGGCGTCGATTGGGATACTTTTGCGTCCCCTTTTATAGGCAGGAACTGCCAAAATCTGTGGTCCCTTCAAAATCACACAAATAATTACGTTATCTGTTATATCGTGTATGATATCAACCGGGATGCACTGTATATTGTTTAATATATCTGTTTCAGATAAACACATGTGATCGACATACTAGGCAGGATTGAGGCAAAGACTGAATTGAAAAGACGCACACCGAATAGCGGCAAATTATCATATACTGCTGGTTGTACGTTTTATTTTTCATGTAGGTTTAAAATCTAAAAAAAATCCGTATATGGGTAGACTGTATTAATGCATTTTACATACCTTCCAAATTTCTCACCATCTGTCAGCGTTTCCGGTAGTACCTTGTCGCTTGTTTCTGGCAAGAGCAGTGCTAACACCCCAGCAATTACTGCCGGAATTCCAAATATCACGAGGGGTAAGGTCGGCGAGTATGTTCCCTAGAGATAGATAAACGTTGGCATGTTTGATTAACACTGAATAGCTTCTAATGCAATGAGAATAATACGTGTCTTTTGCTTAGGTCACGCGTTGTGTACCATTATTTTATTTTCGTAGAAATTTGATGACATTTCAAGTAGTTAGCTGCGTACCAGCATGGAGATGTAAGGAGCGAGGATAGCGCCGACTCGGGCGAGTACGGAGTTACTGCCGAGGCCCGCGTTACGCACTACGGTCGGATATATTTCGGCGCTGTACAGGTAGACGACGGAGAACGTCATTGAGACGCAAAACTTGCCGAATGTCGCAAGCCCGACGATCAACTCGTCAAATCCTGTTGTAAAAAACGCAATCTTTTAGCGGTCATTGATATTATTGTGTATATATTGCCGTTGATTGCCTTCATATACTATTCTGTAAGAGGCTGTGTAGCATACAACATAAGAAATTCACCTTTTAAATCAGATATAACCCCATTCGCGATAAAGAAGGTATTCGTTTGACAAATACAGGCTTGTACTTCCCATCTCATCGAAGTTACGAATCCTTTTCCATTTAATTCGACATCGTACACGTCTATATGTATCGAACATCAGTCCTTTTTCGTACAACAAACGTACAAGATAAAATATAAAATGACATTTTATAAAGCGCAAATTTCCTCCAGAGATCATATGTCAACGCACATCTCCGTTATAATGATCCAGAAATTATAAATAATATCAGGAGTATATAATAGAGAATATAATTAATATTAATATAATTAAACTATGAGAATAAAACCGAAAAACCTGCCTGCAATAAAATATGCAATAATAAGTAGTATTTTCAAAGAACCGATAAGCAGTAATCGAGTAGTGTTACAGCTACGTGTTATAGCCGCTACCGTGTAAGAACGGCAGAGACGTCACTAGGCAACTAATGCCGCTGGATAACATTGTCAATGACGCAGTCAGTCTGCGTCCGTATCGCTTCAAGGTGTACATGACGACCAGGTGCGCGGGAATTTCCACCAGGCCACCGAGGAAGAAGCTTAGATAAGGGTTACTGCCGAGGTTCACGGAGTTCAGTGAAAGTCCATAGTAAACCATGGACACGACGAACCTGCAAGCGAAAGTTGACACAAATATCATGTCACAGGCAAGAGATTCAAGAAGAAATTGCTACATGAAAAAGGTCACACCTAACGATTCAAACGTTATTATCGTAAGGAGCGTTCTGAGAATTTGGAGGCTATAGGTAGAATAATTTTCACTTTTCCTAGTGACATTACCACTGAAACATCAAGACGAGCGATTTCTTCCTCATGTTTGGCGTACGCAGTGTGTCCATGACATTCGGTTCTCTCACTTTTCCGTCGGCGGTGACAATTTGATGTTTCTGAAATTGCCAAATTGCCTATTGACATGTCCGTATCTTTCCCCTTCAACAAGACACATCACTAAGATTGTATCAAAACGTACGACAATAACTGCTGTACAATCGGCAGAATTATAGGGTGGTGAAACAGTTAACAATTTCGTACCCAGTACCAAAATACCTATTGGCACCGTAAATACGGAAGAATAAAATTTGGCATTAAGGGCTCACATAGCTTGCCATTTTCAAATTCCAAATATATTTATTCTCACGGTGTTCTAATCAAATCAATTTGCGACGTGTGATAAAACAATAATTTAACTTACAGGCCTATATGCAACTTTAAAGACGATTGAGATACCATAGATAAAAAATGATATACAATTAGTAGGTTCACTCGAAGCTTATGCTAACTGGAATGTTCAGATAGATCGCATAATTTTAGAAAGCACTGTCTACACTAATCGTGACCTTTTTCTCGAGTATTAGTTGAACATTTTCTGGGTATGACTTCCGATTAATTGCAGCCATTTTTTTCAGTGCCGCTTCGCATTCTTCGTGCTTGCCTTCTGCGTACAGCCATCGCGGTGATTCGTCAAGAAGACTTTAAACAAGGAAATCGTGAGATTATTCAAAATAAATTCTCCTTGCGAAAATCATTCAAATGACCGAGGAATCCATAATGTTATCATGGCAATTAATTCTCAATGACTTAACGAAATAAAAACGAGCAACGACAGCCAATTCGTCCCCTGTTGTAAATTCGCTAGTCATCTTAGTGCCATTGTTGCTCGGCTAATGTGGTTGGTATTTTTCTAACGTGATTAAATAAAATATTCGCTAACACATTGAATCATTCCTGGCGACTCTCGCTCTTAACATATCGAAATTCCCACACATCCTATTATAAATGTTCTACCTACAAGTAATAGCCCAGCATGAGAAATATCCAAATTGATAACGCGAACTGCAGATGGCGCCACGAGCGGATGAGCCACGCGAGCAGGGCCAGCATGGCATATGCCGCCGAGTAGAACATCCCGCCCAAGTTAGAGCAGCGATTTCGATAAGGATTGCCAACGTTCTCCAGCACTGCAATCAGAGTAAAAATCATCATGTGTCAAAACTATCACGCAAGATATTAATACTTTAAGACATTACTCATTATCTTGTGCGGGAAACTAGCTATCGCTGATATAAAAATAGATATAGATATATATAGTGTGATAATCTAGTGTATATCTGATCGTCCGACTATGCGGGTAGAGGTAACAAAGTGGATCCCCGAGCGATAACACTGAGGATCACATCGTTCGTTGGCACACGCCATTTTCGTTCTGCTAAATATTCGCCCGTCATGAGATGACATATCATACTGCGGCAGTGCAGTGCTTCTTAAACTCGTGAATAGTTCACCCAATGGTGAATATGAAATCATTTTGGAGTGAACAACATAAGGAGAACCAAAAGGATAAATAAAAAACATAAGGAAATTTAGTTGCAGGTGAATGAAATTTTGTGATAAAGACTCGAAGGTGAATGACACTGGAGTGGTTTGGGAAACACTGTGTGATTGATTACACGACCCCGCTCTCAACTGCCGACCCGGCGGTGAGTGTATTCAGCGGCCCTGATAGACTTCAACATGGCCGTGGTACTCACGATAAACGAAGCCACTGTTACAGGCCCCGGCCGCCGACGCCCCTGTCAGGAACCGCAGCACGGCGTAGACGGGATAGTTCGGAGAGAAAGCGCTAGCCGTGCCGACAGTCGCCAGTATCAGTATCGTGCACAAGAACGTATTCTTCCTGCCCTTCCTAAAAATGATGCCTTATAGAAGTGAGATTGTTCCCCCCCCCCTTTAGCAAAATTAGAAACCTCGTACATCTTTCTATGCCTTTGTGACGGTATTGGCGGGCTGTAATCAAATATGTGAAATGTGATGTAGTATATAACATTAGCTAAGTATTTATTCGTAGTTGGACCAAGTTCGATGTCTGCGTCAATTGCTATTATATTCGCTTCGCAAAAGATAGCATGTGAATTATCGATGTTTCGCAAAAGGTTTTTGATTATGCAATATTGGCGAGCTGTGTCATAGAACGCGTACTTGTCTGAAATCTCCCCGAACACGATGCATCCGATCAGAAAACCCAACATGAATAGACTTTGACCGGCAGCAGACGCCAACCAGCTTTTGCCGCAGACCAGGTCCCACTGCAAATAATCGGCATCTCAGAATAACTTCATGCGTAAACCTCAGGAAACAAACACGAGGATGTTGTCAGCATAGCATGCAACTAACGACGAGGAAATAACATGGTGATTTAACCGTCTCCTTAAAGGCCGCTGATCATCAACTGCGCAGGAGCGAGAAAAGCTCGAGTAATGTGCTGATTAATTATGGGTATAGTTAGAGTTTTATCTATCCCAGTAAGTTCAATTGTCGCCGAGCCGTCTAACACGGCGAGCAGTGCCTCATACATACCTCGCTGGCAAATGTCGAGGCCCCTTCTATCTGATCATAAATCCAACCATTCTCGCACGATGTCTGGTTGCCGTCGGTGTAAAACGAGGGCGACAGACTGTCGAGGCCTCCACTGGAATAGAGAAGAGCTGCCTGCGTGTAATTTCGTTCAGAATATACCTCACAGGCCGACCATTTCAATACTCCTTTATTTGATATCTCATACGGTATGCTCAGGGTTTTCTGGACGTCGTAGGGTAGTGCCGCCAGCTCCGGCACGGCGCACCAATGCTTAGGGATCGCTCCGATGAATACGATAACCAGATTCAGGAAACCGGTTGGTAGTGCTGCTAACGAGATGAGCAGAAATACTTTCAGCTGCCAGCGGCCGAGATCTCCTACGTGACCAAGAATCTCATCGTATGACATGAGACGATGCGTCGCGCTAGGTTCGTACAGGCGCTTGTTCAGTTCCGCCATCTTGTCTCAGGTGCTCGCACACACGCACACACACGTTTATGTATATATATATATATATATCTTTCTAATATATATATATATATATATATATAAGGGCATGGTTCGATCACATTAGACGTCTAGGTCGATAGTCCTTCTATAGTGGGTTAGTGCGTATTGACTTACAATAAATATCCATGGGCGCAATGTCCGAAAATTGATCGACGGGAATTGGGTCATGGGATCATTGAACACAAATACAAGACACTAGTTTTTCTACAACGAGACAATCACAAGATTGGAGCATCGAGTTATAATAAATATTGTTTTAATCCATCATTATAAAATAGCGTAGTCACATAATATATAGCTCATCTAATATATATTTGAGTTCGTATGTATGTATGTATGTATGTATGTATGTATGTATGTATGTATGTATGTATGTATGTATGTATGTATGTATGTATGTATGTATGTATGTATGTATGTATGTATGTATGTATGTAT